TTATTACAACATTGCAAATGAATAAAAATTTTTGCATATATGTATATACTGATTTGATTAATGTACAAAAGACTTGATGTATAAGGTTATGCTTTTTAATCATTTCGAAATTTGTTATTTCGTTACACATGCATTAACAATTTATTTATATAAAATATTTGAAAAGTTATATCATATAATTATGCACTTAACGATTTATAATTTTACCAAAGGTGATCACTGATGTAGACATGTTACCGTCACAAGAGAGTGACGCGTAAAACCGGTTCTGACATTAGTTACTGATCGCAAGTTTGTTATGACAATATGAAGCGTTGATTTCAAAATGCAAGCTTCAGATTGGCTGTCGTAACAAATTTATGACCAACTTGCAACTAATGTAAGAACCGACTTAATGTGATCGATACAGCATAAACAAAACATTGTGCGTTGACTATGACAATTCGTGACTCAGTTACGATCATTATTGTGCTGACACTCTAAAGCCGGTTTTATATTAGTTGTAAGCTTATCGCAAGTTTATTGCGACAGCCAATCTGAAGCTAGCATTTTGAAATCAGCGCTTCATATAATATAGAACCGGCTTGAGATATTAACAGTTCTCAAATTGACTTACAACATCTTAGAGTCTGAGCACAAAAATTGTCGTAACACTTACTTAGAGACTTAAGTAACGCACAATCCTAACAGCACAAACGTCGAATGTCGATTGTAAGTTGACTTTGCTAAGTCAGGTCAGTCAATATCGACTGTAAGTCGACTTTGTACAGACATCCTTCTAATGTCGATTTTAGGATGTCTATCGATTTACGCTCACAAAGCTTAAATGTGGAATTATTTCATCCTTGTTGTTTAATTATAATTAAACAACAATAAATGCTGTTCATGAGCATTGTAAGCATGAATCGGACCATAGCTTAGAATGGTTGACTTAAAGTCGTCTTTAAAATGGGACATTATATGACTTAGAGACATCTTCAAGTCGTCTAAAGTTGGATGTCTATTTTCCAGAAGTCTAAAAGCTATAGTCGGCTCAGAGACTTTATACTGTTAGGGAAGCTTTGGCATACGATTATTTGCCGTCTTTTACACAGTAATAAGTTGTATGTCATACGTGAAAGCTTGTACGTTACTTATGTCTACAATTTAAGTCTAAGTAAGTGTTATGACAATTCTTGTGCTCAGACCTTTATTGTACTTAAGACAGTAAAGGTCATTCTACATGGTCGTATCGTAGCATCGGAAGCGTCTTAAGCATCATGCGATTTTAAAATTGAAGCAACGGATTGGCTGGAGCAACAAACTTGTGACTTGTTTGTTTTGTCTCTCGGAAGCTGCTCGAGATTGCTCTGAATGAACTCAAAGGAATGTAGAATTCACATTATGTATGTACGATGTCTGACATTCATCGTAATTACTCCCGAGAAACAAAACGAAACAACACTTTTGTAAAACTTCTAGAAATGATGCAATATTATTTCCATCACGTAAAAATTGGTAAAAATTGGATTTCAACTTTTGTCGTGCGGTTGAAATTATATACTTTAAATCAGCGG